AAAGGAAGGAAGGAAGGAAGGAAGGAAGGAAGGAAGGAAGGAAGTGACATAAAGAAGGAAGGAAGGCAGGCAGGAAGTAACGAAAGGAAGGCAGGAAGTGACGAAAGGAAGGAAGGAAGGAAGTGACGAAAGGAAGGAAGGAAGGAAGTGACGAAAGGAAGGAAGGAAGGAAGTGAGGAAAGGGAGGAAGGAAGGAAGTGAGGAAAGGAAGGATGGAAGGCAGGAAGTGACGGAAGGAAGGAAGGAAGGAAGGAAGGAAGGAAGGAAGTGACGAAAGGAAGGAAGGAAGTGACGAAAGAAAGGAATGAAGGCGGGAAGTGACGAAACGGAGGAAGGAAGGAACAGAAAAGTGAGAGGATATAAACCAGTAAGTGAGAAACACCAACAAAAAGAAAGAAAGAAAGAAAGAAAGAAAGAATAGAAAAGAAAAGAAAGAAAATGACAAAGAAAGCTGAAGAGTAAAAGAAAAAGTACTAAATGGAAAAAGAAAACTTAGGAAAAGAAGGAAAAGCACAAAGAAACAGTAAGAAAAAATATGAGAAGAATTTGCGAAATATAAATAAAGAAAATTAGAAAGAAATCAGATAAATATAGAAAAATACTACGGAACAAGAATGAGAATGTGAGAAAAGATGTCACAGACGCTGAGGATTATACAAAGGAATGCCTGGTTTTCCAAACTGGGAATAGCACAAGTTTTCTGGTGTATACGGCTGTTATTATGGACATGAAACAATTTCCTTACAGGTACGTTTACGAGGAATAATGGGATACACGATTGTCGCCATATTGTTTTTTCTAAGTAGAATAGCAGTCTAAATGGGCAGAGATAGATAGATAGATAGATAGATAGATAGATAGATAGATAGATAGATAGATAGATTATGAGACCGATGTGTGAAAATAAATAAATAATTTAGGATATCTTAATAAAGAGGATTCACAGAGATACGATCCAAGAAAAGTGGAAAGAAGTGTCACGGAGAGTGAGAAAGAAAGTTGAATGAGAGAAAGAAGAGAATTTTTTTTTTAAAGATAATGATAATATTTTACAATATCTGCTTACCACGTCTCTATCTATTTACACCAGTGTATTCCAAGCTTTCGATCTTAACTGGGTTATTTCTAAAGGATGATTGAAAAAGTTGAGTATTTCCATAGGAATATATTCATTAGATATGCAGAACTGAGATCAGGACTTCAAACGGTCTTCACAAATTTATTATACCTCTCAATAAATCCATGTAATTTTCCATAGGTGAATTAAAAAAAAGGAACGAAAATAACACTTCCAGGAAAATGTTTTTCTTTTTGATTTGTTCTTTATCTTCAGAATGCACTTATTTTATTATCTGTTAATTGTTACCTCCTAGGAAAGGATAATAGGTTTTGTTTTGTTTGCTTTGCTTTGTTTTACGATATATCAAACACAATAGGTTATTTAATGCCGACAAGCTTATTATTACTCGTAATATATTTTACAAAAAATTATTGCTGGAAATATTTTTCGTCAAAAATATATTGTTACTAATAATGTATTGCTGTTAATAATTATTTACAAAAATGTATTGCTGGTAATGTATTGCTGGTAATAATTATTTACAAAAATTTATTGATGGTAATAATTATTTGCAAAAATATATTGCTGGTAATAATGTAATGCTGGTAATAATTATTTACAGAAATGTATTGCTGGTAATAATTATTTACAAAAATATCTTGCTCATAATAATGTATTACGAGTAATAATTATTTAAAAAATGTATTGCTGGTAATAATTATTTACAAAAATATATTGCTGGTAATAATGTATTGCTGGTAATAATTATTTACAAAAATGTATTTCTTGTAATAATGTGTTGCTGGTAATAATTATTTACAAAATATATTGATGGTAATAATGTAATGGTTGTAATAATTATTTGCAAAAATGTATGGCTGGTAATAATTATTTACAAAAATGTATTGCTAGTAATAATTATACACAAAAATATATTGCTGGTAATAATATATGGCTGGTAATAATTATTTACAAAAATGTATTGATGTTGATAATTATTTACAAAAATATATTGCTGGTAATAATGTAATGCTGGTAATAACTATTTACAAAAATATATTGCTCGTAATAATGTATTGCTGGTAATAACTATTTACAAAAATGTATTGCCGGTAATAATTATTTACAAAAATATATTGCTGGCAATAATGTATTGCTGGTAATAATTATTTACAAAAATGTATTTCTGGTAATAATGTAATGCTGGTAATAATTATTTACAAAATATATTGCTGGTAATAATGTAATGGTGGTAATAATTATTTGCAAAAATGTATTGCTGGTAATAATTATTTACAAAAATGTATTGCTAGTAATAATTATTTAAAAATATATATTGCTGATAATAATGTATAGCTGGTAAGAATTATTTACAAAAATGTATTTGTGTTGATAATTATTTACAAAAAATGTATTACTGGTAATAATGTATTGCTGGTAAGAATTATTTACAAAAATCTATTGCTGTTAATAATTATTTACAAAAATGTATTGCTGGTAATAATGTATTGCTGGTAAGAATTATTTACAAAAATATATTGCTGGTAATAATGTATTGCTGTTAATAATTATTTACAAAAAGGTATTGCTGCCAATAATTATTTACAAAAATGTATTGCTTTTAATAATGTATTGCTGGTAAGAATTATTTACAAAAATTTATTGCTGTTAATAATTATTTACAAAAATGTATTGCTGGTAATAATGTATTACTGGTAAGAATTATTTACAAAAATGTATTGCTGTTAATAATTATTTTTCGGTAATAATATATTGCTGGTAATAATTATTTACAAAGTATATTGCTGATAATAAGGTAATACTGTTAATAATTATTTACAAAAATGTATTGCTGTTAATAATGTATTGCTGGTAAGAATTATTTACAAAAATGTATTGCTGCTAATAATTATTTACAAAAATTTATGGCTGGTAATAATGTATTGCTGTTAATAATTATTTACAAACAGGTATTGCTGCTAATAATTATTTACAAAAATGTATTGCTGGTAATAATGTTTTGCTGTTAATAATTATTTACAAAAACGTATTGCTGTTAATAATTATTTACAAAAATGTACAGCTTGATAATATTTTTTCTTCAAAATTATACTGCTGATAATAATGTATTGCTGGTAATAATTTTTGCTAAAAAATTTGTGGCTTGTATTAAAATCCTATTTTTACACTTTCATAGTGTTTTGACTCCAGTTTAGGGGTTAACTATTTTCCCATAGCTGGGACCCTAACAGGTGCTACCACTCCGGGTCAGAGTGGACCTGGGAACACCAGAAATTAAGATGTGGTTCCATGCTCCTCAAAACCACCTTGCTGTTGGATGTAGTTTATCGTCTTACCCAGGACTCAAGGATACTGGGTGTATTTCCCGTTTCCTTGTATATGGTTTTCGAATTTCAAGCTCTTCCTCGCAAAGACTGACGAGAAGATCTCAGTCTACCCTACTATTTATACCATGACTAAGGTGGAGAAGGAAGGAGCTGATCCATCTTTTTCCAAAGTGGAACATTGCGAAGTGAATGCAACAGAATGCCGGGATGTGCGATGGTAAGAGTTACTCTACCCGCACAATGATGCCCCTTTTCGAATGCAGGGACTTATAAATCTAACTCTCACAGACGCTCGTATCCGAGGATGCCGGTCAACCAGCGCGTATTGCTAATGGCTATTGCAGACGCCAGCTCAGACATATTTCTCTTTGTTCAAAAAACACAGCCCACCAGAGCTTTATACTGCAATTATATTGAGTGGACCTTAGTTAAAAATTCAGGGTTGGGGTGCGCGTTATCTCGCGTGATGAACAGTCTGAACAAAGCTAGCAGGATCTAATGGTGTATAGCCTCCTCATTCTGGGAGGTCACGTTGCCAATTCCATAACATGTTGCATCTCTTCCCTCTCGTCTTCTTCCGGCAGGGGTCGCGAAATGTTTTGGTTCAGGTATGAAAAAATTTCAACACAGCGAATTTTAAGTTAACTATTTATTAATCATGCCGACGACTACATTTTCTAACTATCCAAATGGGGTTCGTTCTCCCTCACTGGGGAGCCGCTTCAGACACGAAAGTGAACACGTATATATTCCTTGATGGTTAAGAAACAACTCTCACAAATTTTTTTCCTATCTACATTCTCAAAATCGACTTCCCATAATATAACTTTTATCTGACCCCGCGAAACAACCTCCGGAAGTCGCAGCTGAGACACAATTCCACCTAAAAATAATAGTCCGCTAAATTATTAATTAACAAAGACTCTTTATGTGGGAACGTAGTCCAGTGGTTAGAAAGTTGGTTTTCTGATCATGAGAATCGAGTTCGAGTCTTCACCGTGGTCCGTTTTTCTTGACGTCATTTTATCGTTAATATTGCTTAAGGAAATAAATAAAGAAATAAAGAGAAGATAGATAGATAGATAGATAGATAGATAAATACTCCTACACGGTACTTAGAACAGAAGTAGAGGATTATCCCTTGTTTCCTTTTTAAGAGTCGGTTTCTCAAATCTACTTCAACTCTATTTTTTTAACATTTGCATCTGAACTGTGAAATGTTCTTTACTAATTATTTTTCTCCTCGGTAAGATCATATGGGTTCTCCCATCGCCCGGTTCAAATTCTTCCCTGGTCTTTTGAACAGAAGTAGTGGTTTTGTCTGTTGTTATGTTCAGGATTTGATTTCTTGTCCCTTCTAAACCCTTGTCATTCTCTTTCATTCGCGGTCGCCCTTTGTCTCTTCGTGGCAGTGTCGTCTTTCTCGGGTTAAATTGATTTTTTAAAAAAGAAGAAAATAGATAGATAGATAGATAGATAGGAACATGTGAAAAAGAAGATAGATGTGAACTGTCCGTCTGGTTTAGAGTGAACTAATATTGTCTCGACTCATTACACCATTCATTCATTATACCTCTTGAGAGGCGCAGTAT